CTGGACCTCATACCCACCTTGTGAGGGTGCTTCACGTGGACGCAGAAACCCAGCTCTTTGAGAACTCGTCTTTCCGCCTTTATAATTTGGTTCTTTAAGTTCACGTACTCTTGATCCAACAGCAGAGGTACAGGTTTCCTACAAAGACATCAGGATCACATAAGGCAAACTCACATGCCTCGATCACCTCCACACGGTGAGAATCTAAAACACCACGAAACACACATGGAAGTTCACGTCATCTCCTTTAACTAACAAAACCACGAAGTCTCCCTCAAGCCGCCACGCTAACCTGCTTGCCCCCCTCACTAACCTTCCCCCCTCTTCCTCATAAAGCAGCAGCTGTCTGGTGTGCCGTAAGCACCGCCTGCCTGACCATGCCGAGGGTCTCAAGGTCTCACAAGTACTAAATGCACTTTGGCTAAAGGTACAAGTGTGTCTGCTGAGGACGAACGAGAATCCATTGGAAGTACATCATTTAAACAGCCAATGCTGTTTCCCAAAGGAATTCCATTAGCTTTAGGAACATAAAATCTCCAGAAAGGTCAAGACAGTGGTTACCAAAGAGGGAGCGATTCTGCCATCCTGTGGCCACATGGTCGTGCTTGGAGATGTTTTTGGCTATCAGAACTGAGGGAGAAGCCATTTACGTCTAGTGTACAGCAGCCAAGGATGCTGCGAAACACCAAACAATGAGCAGGACAGTCCTCACAACAAGGACTCAAGCAGCCCAAAATGTCAACAGCGCCAAGGATGAGAACCAGCTCTAGAGCACACAGAGACCAACTTGGGAAAACCAAGAAACCGATGCCAGCAAAACTGTCACCACAGTGCCTAGTCCTTACTGGGGTCCCGTCATCGCACGTCTGCTAGCACCCCCTGGGCACTGGGCCCTCTTCTAGGCACAAGTTTAAAACCCTCACACCCTGAATTTTGCTTCATAGACATTAGTGCAACTTAATTAACCATGAGAATAGGCAAACATTTAAAACGGATCTGATAAAAACTCACCTTTTCTCTCTCAGATGTCGAAGGCGATGAAACACGTTCATGACGTCCCGTATGCGTCTTGGAGCCTCTTCTATTTTGGAGGCCAGGTGAACGCAGGCCATTGACACATGCTGAAACGGAAGCATTACCACACGTGGATGTCTTTTCCAATCGTGACGGCGTCCAAGAGCTTTAGAAGGAGGATTAGGAGCAAAGAGGAGGTACACCCAGAGAAAAGGCCACCTGGGAGACATCGCTGAGAGTACACGGGGCTTTCCCAACCCCCGATGCAGCGCTCTGAGCAAGCCCGCAAAACGACAAACGCGAGTTTGCTCTCCACGTGTTTCAGTAGGTGAAACACAGGGGTCCCTTACCTCCATGGAATGCTTCACGAAGGACTTGGTGTAAAAGAACCGCTGGAACAACACCTGCCCCGTAGCCATGGCCACCTAGAAAAGAGAGAGTTCCAGCAGCTTTAAACGCACAACTCGAGGGTTTCACAGTTAAGTCATTGGGTTTCGTGGAACTCTGGACACTGAACCAAAAACTAAGACGTTTTACACGTCCAAGAGACTCTTCGTGCCCGCTGCCTCGCCTCCCCTACCACCTGCGGCGGGCCGGCAGCGGTGAAGCGCTGGGCCGGGTCCCGGGCGGGGTCAAAAAAGGGCGCCGGGCGGGCCCTGCCGCCAACAAAGGGCTCGGCTGCCTCCCCGGCGCTGGCGCGGCGGTTACCTCGGCCAAGGCTCGCGGCTGCGCTCACCTGCGGCAGGCGGAGCAGGATGCCGGCCGCCTGGATGAGCTCGCAGCCCACCACGCGGAGGTCGGTCTCCGTGTCGGTGTCGAGGCCGCTCGACATGGACGGCGTGAAGCGGAGCTTGTCGTCAGGCAGGAGACAGTTCTCCAAGGTGATGAGCACTCCGGAGTACAGCCGGTCCCCGATCAGCACCCCTTGCGACCCAGGGGCTGCGTTCCCCGAGCCCGGGGTGCCAGCAGCTGCCGCTGGGGCC